GTTTTGCTGTGGCTCAGGCTTGGCAAGCTCATCAGCGATCCGATCTTCGAACTGGCTGATCTGAAAGAGCTTGGCTTTCTCCTACGCCCAGAACAGCAACCAGATCCTAATTTTCAGGATCTCCATGTGAGGGGGCCTTATATTCAGGTCCTACTACAAAGAATCTTCACACACTTCCGGGTGTAGACCAATGATTAATTCTAGTTCTCAGACTGAAATGGCAGCACTGATCCTGATTCTAGCACTTACACGAAGCGCGCTTTCTTGGGAGTGTGGCAATGCACCGTTCGGTCGCAACCCCGTCCTGCATCTGCCTGGGAGGAAGCAACTGGGCTTTGAGTTCAGGGAGTGGTTTGGGTTCAGGGTTTAAGGCGTTGAAAATCCTGAGCTGGCAGCAAACGAGATAAAATGAATATATCTACGACAGGCTGACATCCATCATGTTCATACTAAATTGTCCGAGCTTTCCTGACATAACCATGCTAGCCCAAGCTAAGCTACTTCCACCCTGAACCCCAAACCTTACGCCCAAACAAACAAAGCTCTCACCCGAAACTCTCAACCCTAAACCTTAAACCCCAAACCCTAAATAGTAGCTTCCATTTGCTAACCCCAATATTACCCCCATGTAACCCCATAATCCCTATGGGTCTCCATGACCCGAAACCTAAACCCTAAACCCCAAACTCAAACCCTAAACCCTAAACCCTAAACCCTATACCCTATGCCTTGTCATCTCATAGTCCATGATGAGCTCCCGTCGCTCTGCGGCTTCGGAGCGTGCCCTCCGCAGCCCCTCAGCCCGAGCCTCCAAAAGAGCCGGAAACTTGATGACGGATGACGATGGTTTAGGGCTCAAGGTTTTTTTTTTAAACCCTTGGGACTTTTACGTCTGCGCGAACGCAAAGGGTCTGTTGCCTTCGTCGGGCTGAATTTCCCTTGAATTTCCCTGGCCCTCAACCAGGTAAACAAGATCAAGATCAATCACACTGACTTCTTACTCAGTCTGTGTGGCCTTGTGATCGACGCTTTTGCTGACGATCAATCTCATGGTAAAGGCGGTATGGGCTCAAGGTTTAGGGTTTAGGGTTTAGGGTTTAGGGTTTGGGGTTTGGGGTTTGGGGTTTAGGGTTTAGGGTTTAGGGTTCAGGGTTTAGGGTTTAGCGTTTGGGAATGAGGGTTATTGGGAATCATGTTCTGTTATAGCAGTAGTAATGCTACTTCTTCTTCTTCGAATCGCGATCGCTCCATGCAACCTAGCGAGCCTCAAAAATGACTTTGTCATGAGGCGGTGAGCCGCCACTCGTGGCATAGCACTCACATAGCAGCCCGGGCCTAGGCCCCTGCAGCCGCCAGCTAACTCAAACTAATTCAAGCACGCAAAAACTGTACATACTTCAGCAGGCAGGTTCAAGTTTCCACCTCGAATTTCAGGGTACCTCCCGGGCAGGCAGCGGTCGGCAAGTGTCACATCTCCAAGTATCGCCACGGTCATGACAGAGCGGCCCTTTTTCTGGATGCGTTCCATTGTGCCGCAGAATTACGTCTCCACGCAATCAGAGCCCTTCGAAGCTCCTCTGGGCAAGAGCTGAAAACCAAATCTTCGCAGCAGGCGATCCGAGCCAGGCGTCAACCACGAACTATTCCGAACATGATACAGCACAAGTGTCAGTCGCATGCCTTCCCAGGGACATGTAGCATGTAGATCCGCGCCATCAAAGAGCAGGAAAGGAGACGTGATTGGAAGCTTCTTACCTCTGAGTCCGCTGGGCAAAAGCTGGGAGTTCCCATCAGGAGCCTCTATCCAAAGCTCACCCCCCGACCACCTGGTCAGTGGTACGATGATATTGAGCGTGGAGCGATCGTTATTCAAGTCCGTATGAGGACGGGAGAGCACATTTCTCGAAAGTGAGAACGAACTGTAGTGCCTTCCAGCAACAAGAAGATTGGCCAGAGAAACCAGTGCAATACAAGTCCATGGGTACAGCAGTGTGTTGCGCATTACGCCTGCCTGCCCACCATACACAAACGCACCAGCAATGAACTGTTTCGGCGCTGTTGCCATGCCTGTGTCGGTGGCAGCCTGTGCATTCCGCGGCTGAGCGCGTCCAGGTAGTAGCTGCAGCATACGATTCAAAGTGTCAGAGTCCACCCAGCCTCTCCTTAGCGCTGTATGCGCCATCAGCTCCGCGCCATGCACCGGCGGCTCCAAGTTAACTAGCCAGGGCGGCATCTCCAACCTGAACAGAGATGGCCGAGTCCACACTTCATCGTAGATCTCAAGAATCCTGGGCATAAGCGAAGGTGCACACTGTGGCTCAGGCTGTAGTTCAGGTGAGTCATCATGGGTAAGATCCACTGTCCGAGCTTTCTTGGCACCGAAACATCTGCCCCATGTCAAAGTTCTTCTTTTGCAGGAGCTGCTCGAAATTTCCAGCAACCGGAAGTACGGGCCAGCCTCATCTTCCCCAACCGCGAGCGTATGCCCTCTCCGACTAAAGCCGCGTGACTCAAAGTAAGAGAGTGCACTGTCCCCATCAAACTGCCCACCGGCTGCCATCGCATGGACAGGCCTGTAGAACTCCGTAGTGTTCTCCATCCTAACACCAGCCAGCCAGCCGTCCTCATCGCTGTCCTCTGAGGTAGAAGCACCAGAGTCAGCCTCAAGATCCAGAGGAACCTGAACCCCGACACTCGGCATTGCCCAAGGATCGCCAAAAAAGACCAGAAATGTCAGCACCGACTGTCCAAGAATAATCAATGTGCCCTCAGCGCAGTATCCTTCATGCCCCTTAGACTCAGTCCTCACTACCAGAATTCGCAACCACTGCTAGCAGGGTGATGAAGCAGAACCCATAAGAAAAACTCCAACGTCACCTGCCAGCCTGCAAGGTTCGGGCCGTGCTGCAACAGCCAAACACGAGCACATTGCTGCAACAGTGCACCAGTTTGAGGATCAGTACCAATGCAACCCACTGATCAAGCACGTCGAGGGCACTTGGCGTCCTTCTGTAGGCCAGCTCCGCTGTCATACTCAACCTGAAGGCCCACTGTCCCTATAGCCAATAGCCCCAACTGCACCACCGAACTGCACTTATAAGACACCGCTTGGTCCTTGGCTCCAGGCAGGTCCCGAGATGTCCCAACCTCGCAACGCAGCATTGTTACTCCAAAATGTGCACACACAATATGAGGACATCCGTGGCACTCACATGCGCCATGCATTGTCTGCTCTCGGGACGCAAATACTGCATGCAACTAGCCAGAATTCGTCCAGAACATCTGTAGAACTGGAAAAGAATAAGCCCACCGGCTCGCTTCGGAGCACCGTGGCCGAGGCCCATAGGCATCCACTGGTCCAAAACTGCCTCACACCGGGATCTCCTTTGAAATGGCCTGAGCCAACCCACTTCTGGTCCCACGGTCCGGCTTAGCTTGCATTCCAATCAGCAACCTGCACGCTGAGCCGCAGAAAACATCCAAGAGTTCGTGAGCCTTCTCAGCATCAAGGCCGCGCGAACAAAGCTGAAGGAGGAAAGTCACGCTCTCTCCACGCATTTCTGCTGCCAACGGCCGTGTCGGGAAGAAGCGAGCAATCACTCCCGCGCTGACACTGACCCGTATGACGTCCTGCAGCATCGTCTTGCCCTGTTCATAGGAGAAAGAGGTCTTTGCCGGGTCGACCACCAGCTGCTGCGACTCAGCATTCCACTTCAGGTACGGAAAGGCATTCTTTGCCCCATCGTACCATCCAAGCTTCTCCATTCCAGACATCGTCTCCGGAACAGAAGGCAGTGCCACCAACCTCGCCAGCCACTCTTGGAGCACACAGGTCCAGAGCGCAACCCTCATTGGTCGCGTCACTTCCGCTGGCTTCTCCTGTCGCAGAGTGTGCCATCCAGTCCTAGCCTTGGAGAGGCTCGGGACAATAGTGGAGGGGACATTGATTCGCAGATGCAGCACGTACGAGTGTTCAGCCTTCTGCGCGTTGATGGCGTCTTCGTGCCGCAACAGGAGCCGCTGGACGGAGGCCAACTGCCTCTTCAGTCCATCCACCTCGCTTTCCCGCCAGGACCCACCGTGATCCTTATCCTTGGAGTGCCAGCGCCCCGTTGCCTCCGCCTCGCCCATGGCCGTCTTCACTCTTCCACTTGTCTGGCTTCTCCGCGTACTGAGTCCGACCTTTGCCCTTCTGGTTGTCCTTTGCCCATTTGCCACCGCGGCCATCATCTTGTCTCGAGTCTTGCGTCTCGTCGGGCTTCCGGCCTGCAGACTGATCCACAGCCATGGCTGCGTTTTGCGCAGTACCCGCCGGCATGAAGGACTTCCAGAACTCATCTTCCACCGATGAGACAAGCTGATCCGTCTCCGCCATGGTTGGGTGCTGAGGCAAGGGTGTTTAGGAGGCGTGATCTGACGAGCCAGAGGTAGCAGACATTTCCCTGATGCTCCTGATCTAGCGTGCACCGCTCTGCTTGACGGTTATCATCAGTGTAAAACCACGCATCACCAGATCTGAGGAGGCTGCGATAGTGCCCAGATCTGCAGTCCCGTCCAATGTGAACAATCGCGGCAACTGTCCTGTAGAAGGTATGCAAGCACCTCACCCCCTGAGAGAATACAGGAATCGAGACATCCTCCGCAAAGAGTAGCTTTGCCCGGTTCTTCCTTCCTCCACAGTACCTCCCAATTTGCACAGGCACTAGATCCTGCTGAGCGCTGAGGGCATGCACATGGGCCTGATGTTGCCACGCGTCTAGCAGAGCTTGGAGGTCCGAACTTCGAGTGGGCATCTCCAGTAGCAGGGCCTGACCATGGTCTGTAGTTGAAACATGTCCATCCAGCTCAAGGCGACTGCACCAAACACTCGCAAAAGCCGTGGAAGAACCAAGCACCACACCCACGTACTCAGAAGCGTCTTGCTGTTCCGAATTGTATTCCCAGTTGCCTGAGACCGCTCGCACTGCTGACTGGGCTTGCAGCGCAACACGAAGACCGAACTAAGCCTTCGAACGTAGGTGCTCCAGCAAAGGCCGCAGCATAGCAGGAGTGGACCTGGCCATCGAGCACGCGTGACACAAAGCCAAAATGCTGGAGTTCGCGTAGCAGTGGTTACCTGGGTTGAGGAGGACCAGCTTGAGTGTCCAGAAACTCCGCGAAAACGTAGCTCCGAAGACAGGCGAAACAGAAAGACCCGCACCATCAGAGTGAGGGAGACCCAACTCAGCCACACCACTCCTTCTCACCGCGCTTGCTTTGCTGCCCCTGGATAGTCCCAGAGCCTGACCAATCGGTGAAGACTCAACAGAGTACGCCGCATAGGCAGGTTGGTTCTTGTCCTGCCTCTCGATCACGCTGGCGCTCTGTGAGCGGGCCTCTATCAGTCTCCCCTTCTGGTGCAAGGACCTGGTGGCAAGAAGCTGGAACAAAACCGGACACTGTCGGCTGTGTGCGTTGACATCAGATGCCCCGCTTCCGCAGTACTGGCATGGCCGCCGTATGGCGGAGCGGAGAGCAGCCATATCACCAAGGATCTCCCCCTTGACGAACCGCCAGGCAACCTTATGCGTCATCTGCCAGTGAGTCTTGATACGCTGCATGTCTATGAGATGTTGACCACAGAGAGAGCACGCCATCCGCAATGGGCCCATCCAGCTCGTGTCCAGTATCACCTCCGAAAGAGGTCGTGACAGCAGCCGCTGAAACTCACTTGTGGATACCGCCTCCAGACCATGCGGCGGCTCCGGGGGGTCTTCCTGCTCTTGCTGCAGTACCACCTTCCACATCTCCTCCAGGGTTTTTCCGGTCGCCACTCTCCACTTCAGTCAGCTACACATTCCACTGGCCACATGTTTGCGCAACGAACTCCAGTCATGCATGCGGCTTCTACAGAGTCTACAAACCGGCACCCAGCGCAGGGCATGATCTCCTCTATGGAACGGTATCCCTGAGTCCAAATGTACCTGCGCACGCCGATGCTTCACGTGCATAGCAAGACCATCCGCAGACGCAAAGCTGAGTCCGCAAACGTCACAGCTGTGGCCCGCACCAGGTGTGGATTCGATTTCAATGAGGGAGGCGCCATGCTGTGTCTGGTCGATGCCTCGCAGACGCTGTATGTTGAGCGCAATCTGATCCATCTCATGCACCTTGGCCTCCGCGGTTCTGGTATCCGCTTCCAGTCGACCCTGCAACAGCTCCGAGGCTTGAAGAAGCTCCATGTGGGGATCAATACCAGCTCTACTCAGGACCTCTTCGTTGGAGACCCCGGACGTAGATTCGCAAAACCTTGCGCAGGCGCACGCATAGAGCGCTGACAATCTCATTGTAGGCCTGTGCAAGGCCCACTGCAGCCAACCCATAGCGCATGCTGCTCCACACACATGAACGATAAACCCTCAGCCTGCCCAGGAGGCCAAAGCTGCTGCGAGTTCGGAGCACCTTGCTTAGCTGCCCAAAGCGTTGCTGAGATTTCCCAAGCCGATGCTGAACTGTGGCGTGCTCATACCCAGAATATCCCAAAACAATGCCCAAGTAGTTCAGCTCACTGACGATCGGCACATATTCTGTGAGGCCCTCACTCGGAACCCGTAACTGATGCAGTCCGCGCCACTGACACGTACAAGCCCTCAGCATAGAAGCCTTGTCTGTTCCTGGGAGTGCCAGCAGTACCCCCGACTTGTCAAAGTTAATCAAAAGCCCCAGCTGACGAATCACCGAAAAAAGACAACCAAGTTCACGAATAGCCCTGCGCATGTCCCCCGTGCCACGAATCACCCAGTACCCCAAGGTATCATCAGCAAATATGCTGCGCTGATTACACCATCCTGCTCCAAGTCTGTCATCCACAATCCTACACAGCCGCGAAGCCCAAGCCGCATACAAAACTGGCGCCAAGGGGCAACCCTGCCAAAGGCCACGTGTCATCATGGTGGTTGCTTCCCTGCCTGCTTGCCGTATCCGGCACTGCGTCTGAGTGTGCACTCGCATGACAATGGCAATCAGGCGGGGATCAATCTGCAGCTCTTCAAGCGATCTCTGTATCTCAATGTGTGGTACAGAATCAAATGCTTTGGCTAAGTCCAAACTGATAGCCATGCCCCCTGCTAACCGACACCTGGCCCCACCCGCAACCCTGCTTGTGTGGTCCTGCCTGCTCTGCTGCAGGAGGGTCCGCACTCCATAGCAGTGCCGAGTTGCACGCAGTATGGCATTGTGGGTATCCATCCCTTTCCGATAGGCAAACTGCGGTGTGTCACCCAGGGCAGCATAGACTGACTCACTAAGATGCTCCTTGAGCACCAGAAGGAAAGCTTTCGAATCTCCCGGCGTGAGCCCTACACTTCTCAAGTGATTCGGCTGCGTAGGGGGCTTAGGGCGCTTAGGAAGCCAGGCCAACTGAACAGAACACCACCCTACCGGCACATGAGGCTGGGAGCCACACAGGGCCAGCTTAGAGATAGCACTCAACTCCTCAGAAAAAACGTTGCCAGGATCCTTCCACGCAGCAATTTTCGGCTGCCCATGAGGGACCGCTTTCCCAGACTTGAGCTCCGCAAGTGCCTTGCTCCATCGCCACACGTCTAGCCAATCCTCTGGAATCCGCTGAAGGCTGGGAGGCTCATATTCCTCTCCCCTGAAGAGCTCCGCTGCATACTGCCTTAGAACCTCGCACTCCTTTTCAGCAGCAACCAGGCCTTCGCTTTCATCCCTGAGCCGCAGCCTACCAGAGGGCTTCGAGCCTGCCAGAAGCTTCACACACTGAAAAAGTGCTCTAGATTCGCCTGTCTTCGCAGCGTGCTCCGCCATCTCCAGTGTTGCAAGGTTGCGTTGCCTCTTGCGCTTGCGGGCTCTCTGCCTGAGTTCCCTGTGCAGTCGCATCATACGCCCATGGCTTCGGAGTAAATCGAAACACTGCTTCAATGCGCGCACGTCCCCGCCTTTGAACGCTGCGCGGGATTCCCAGTATCTGACGATCGTCCCTTCCATGGACTGCAGTTTTGGCGCCTGTACTCTTGGAGCCAAAGAGACCTCCACCTCGCTTGCAGCAGCACGAACTGCACGTAGTCGCTCAGTTGAAGCATCCTGTAGCACAGGGGCCAAATCGCAGCCTGTGTTCTGCATGCGCCTTCGCCAGGGTGCCCACTTCAGAGAGACACTGCCCAGAAGGACTTTGTGTCCGCCCACGCGCCATCCTGCCAGAGGCGTGTCCACCACCGAAGCTCTCCGGGCCTCGGCATCTGCAGATGTTCTCCGCGTGAACGAGTAGTCCAGTAGAGACTCACCCATCGCGTGCACATACGTGGGTTTGCACTCACTGTACGTGTTGCATGCCACCAGGCCCTCTCGCAGTAGCATGTCCGCAGCCTCCGCTGCTTCCTTGACATACCTGCTGCGGCCGTTCTCGGTGCCGACACTGTTTCCAGTGAGACCCGATGTGCGAGGCAGGATTGTGTTCAAGTCCCCCGCCAGGATGATCACGTCCCTGTAAGGAAGCCCACGCACGCACTTCTGCAGCTGCCGCCACACTGTAGCCCTCTCAGCGAGCGTTCTCTGAGTCTCCTCATCCGACCCCGCAGTCCTGACCTTCTGATATACATTTAAAATATCACATGGTGCTCCTGCAATGGTTCCCCGGACATGGAGAAGCCTCCCAGGCACCAGCTCACTCCACTTTAGAGTCGTTGCATCGACGCAATCTCTGCGTACGCATGTAAGAGTCCCACCGGACCTGCACCTGCTTGCCGCGCTATGCACAAAGCACCAGGTGTCATCCTGCCACTCCATGCTATTGCTCCAGTGCGTTTCCTGCAGTAAGAGAACATCAATAGCCGAAGTCTTGGCCCAGTACATAACCTCCGCGTACAGGTGAGAGCTGAGCCCTCCGCAGTTCCAAGTGGCATACCGTAATCTTCGCCCGCCGACCGCCTTCTCATGCGGTTGCCCATCCACCCCGAAATTCTGCCTGCCATAAAAAGTTTTTCCACGATACTTGGCAAAGCCTTGGGCTCCAAGCCTTCGCAGTGCTCGCCGATAAGATCGCTTACGGATCACCGTCGAAGAAACATTAACGCTGTATCTTTCCCCCTCGTTTGGCGCATTAGCGCCTACAGGACACCACGGGGGCCGGTGTCCAACCCTCACGCCAGTGCCGCCGCCAATCAGCTTCTGTAGTCGATCGTCACAGCACTCCCGGACTTGGGACCGGGCCGAGCAAAACTGGTGCTGAGCCGCTGTCGCGCTGAAGAAGTTCGGTATTCGTCCCTCCTCAACATGCGCAGCCTTGCTTGGTTCAGTTCGACTCCTGGCTATTGTAGGCAGGGTGGAAAGGCCCATAAACCGCTGCATCAACATCCCTGAGCTCGTTGGGGATCGTGGAGTATAAAATGGGGTAATGACACTTGCACCAGCCCAGAATGCATGCGCAGTCGCCAGCATCTAGAATAAATCTCAGATCAGAAAGAATGACGTCGATCGTTCTTCCTGTCCAGTACGCAGAAGCCAGCCTATCAGCATACAAAATCGACTCCTCGCTGTGTCCCTCACACAGCAACCAATCTCCAATCTTCTCCCTTATAACAATCAACAGATGTTGTGCAGGGCTTGCCTCCATTGCACACAGAACTCCACTCCCTACCAGGCATTGAACCGCTCGTGGCGCTTTAGTAATGCTACTACTACTTCTACTACTACTTCTACTTCTACTTCTTCTTCTACTACTACTGCTACTACTACTACTACTACTAACTACTACTAACTACTAGGGAGGAAGTTTAATTAAAGAAGTAGCAAGTCGTAGTAGCTGTAGCAGCAATAGTAAAAGCATGCTAGTGATCAAATACGTACAAATAGCTGCAATACTAGTGCTTAGGCGGCTGCGAGGGTGTGGGTTTAGGGTTTACGGGTCATAAAGCAACTGTGAAGTTTGCGAATGGTAGCATTCAGTACGATGACAAGAAGCGGAATATTAGTTGGTGGAACAAGCTGTCGCAGGATCGGACGCAAGAACAACAGTCGTGAATGACCATGATGACGTTTTCACGAACGACGATATGAATACCGAAAACTTGCTCTCTTCTTGTTGCAGCAGCAGCGGCGGTGGCAGCAGCGGCTGCAAAATGAGTAAGATACATTCAAAATCGAGGTATGCCCGTAGCAAAACCAATCATTGTAAGGATCGCAAGGCAACACCCGTAATCTCGAGAACCCTACTTAGGCCACCTAAGCGCTGCACCCCAAACATCCCAACACTAGGTTACGAACCCCATGCACGGATCCAAAGAGTCATGAGAAATCCCTAGCGGCTATGGCCATTGTGTAACCATAGCGGACAGAATGCTTGGGTTTAGGGTTCAGGGTTTATCACCAGTAAGCCCTAAAACGAAAACCAAGCGGGGCCTCCCCGGTTGCCTGGCCATGTATGATCTGTGACTGCACCAGCTGTCGACGCAGGTCGATAGCTTTTGCCTGCTGGGTTCAGAGCTAGCTAAGTCTGTTACGCAACAGTACGTGTTTTCCGCAGTAGTAATTACAAGAGACTGCAAGTGTCATCTAGAATAGAAACAAATTCAGGATGTTTCCTGGTCAAAACTGGGCTTTTTCATACCCAGGTTTGGCAAGAGGATGCATCCTCCATGATCTGGGCACGTCTCAACATGAGAACACAATGCAATGGCCCCGAGAAGGAAGGAGGAAGTGGGTGTAAACAAACTCTGTGATGTGAGACCGGCCTCCTGATCCCGTCGTCGCGCTATTCGCTGTTCCACCGCTTGTTGCGCATATGACATTCTCTACATACACAAGCAAAAAGGCCAGCCTCAGTCAAGGATTAGGTAGCCCTTAGGTTTAGGCATTAGGGTTGGGAAAAACATCATGCTACAATCACACTGGGGCTACAATATCTCAGCTTGCTATTGGATTACGCGACTGGAAATCCTAAACACTTAACACTCATGCTAACTCACATGAAATCTCTTCGGAAGTTCTCTGAGCTTTGTGCCCGGCCGCCGCCGTCTCTAAGCAAAAATCGCAACCTGTCCTTGCCCTTGGGGCACAGGCTAGAGCCAAAATGCTTGCGCAGTTTATACTACTGGTTCTTAGTAGGAACCTGGTTTTGTATCAATCCCTTCTTCCCTACCAAGAACCAGTAAGTTAGATACTTGCGTGCGCGACTGCATGAGCTGCACATCATATTGCACCTTCTGGGTCAGAGCAAGCAAGCCCTGCGTGCGCATCTACCATTCCCAATCCATATTCAAAGAATGGCCGTGTTTAGGGTTTAGGGTTTAGGGTTCAGGGTTTCGGGTTTAGGGTTAAGGGTTTCCATTCATACTGGCAAGGCCTTCCAAGCCCATCCGTATTTTTTGACAAATGAAGTGCTGCACCTCTGTGAAGAACATGCTCTGGGTCATGTAGCCACCTGGATTGCTATACTTGTCTACTCCCTGCAGGTTTTTCTGAGTCCCATTGCTGTGCTTGTCATGATCGTGACTGGTAGTTTCCCTAAACAGAGCACCAATATAGACCCCAAATTACTACAATCCTCATCATTAGCCAGCCTCTATTGGTACCCCAGACATTGGGAAACCCTCAGCTATTCATCCCAGTGCAGGCAGGCAGGTGTTCCATCCAAGCTCGCGACACTGGAAATTCGGACTTTGCCTCGGCTCCATGTCCTTAGCCGCGCACAGCGGTTTAGGGTGTAGGGTTTAGGGTCTGAGGGTTTAGTGGTTAGGGGCTTTAGGGTTGAAGGGTTGAAGGGTTTTGGGTTTAGGGCGGCATCAGCACTTCACGAACGCAACACACCCCGTGCGTCCAACACTGGGGCCAATGGCAGGCGATCGCAGACGTTACCTGTGTCTGCATGACATCTACTACTAAGTGAGCCGAAAGACGATGCAGCGATTCCGTACATCATGCCAAAGCGAGCTCTTTGACAACTGGCATTCAGGAAGTTTCAGTCTGCTAGACCTGAAGTCATGCTGCCGGAACTTTTTTTGATCTTCCAAAAGATCTTTAGACACCACGCAACTCTTGGTGGCATCTCCAATCATTTACTGGAGCTTTTGCCTTCAGGCAGAGCGCTGTGCGGATTCGCTTTGGGGGCGTTTTCCCTTCAGCCCCAGCTATGCAAACTCTGAATAGGCCTGAATGTCTTGGAGACCATTTCGTGAAAAATGAAGGAAAGCATCTAGAGTTCAGCCCCAGTTTCCATTTCATGTTCCAGGTTCTTTTCCTATTCGTTCTCCACTGTGAGCCTACATGACCAACGTGTTCATCGCATTTTCCAGATTATGTTCCATTCGAATCTCCACTAACCCTAAAAACTATCCCTCCACATACACACACATCGATATATACACACACATGCGCGGTAAATACGTGTAATCCCATAGACAACATATCTCTCTCCATGTAAACCCTGTGACAACCCCAAACTCTAAACCCTTAGACCCTAAACGCCTAAACCCTTAGACCCTTAACCCTTAAACCCTTAAACCCTTAAACCCTTAAACCCTAAACCCTTAAACCCTTAAACCCTAACCCCTTTTACCCAATCCTCTGCAGAAGCAACTCAGCTTCGCGGAGTTACGTCCCGAGGCGTGGGAGGGCCAGGAGTCGCCTGGAGCACCGAGGGAGACCTGAGCTAGGTAGGTATACAGTCCCCCCTTAAGTAGATAGAATATGGCTTTGAGTGTTTTATAATAAGATCCCCATATACCCCATATTCTATCTACTTAAGGGGGACTATACTACCAAACACTAGGGTTTACGGTATAAGTTTTAGGGTTTAGGGCAACTGTAGGGGGATGAAAAAGTTGTAACCTGGTTATAACTTCAGTGTTTTCATAGAAAGAACCTGGGCAGTTGCATTGCGGCTATGCCTCCTGCTTAGAAAAAACCTCGACTGGGTACCAGGAAGGCCCGTGTGCCACACCTGAATTCCCCAAGGTAATGGCATTGTAACAACCAAAGTGAAGGAAGCATTGACCCTGTGCCAGGGAAGGAGAGGCCTGAAGGGGAAAAAACACATGAGCTATAGTCTAAACTCCTTACAGGGAATTCTATGGGGGAGCACCATAAGTTATAAGGGTTCTTAAGGGAGATAACAGGAGTTTAGGCTATAGCTCACTGAAGACCGTCCGAGCCAAGAAGCCCTGAAACCTCACACCGAACTCTTAAAGTCCAGGACACGACAAAGCAAGCATTCAGCTATGAGAGTTCAAAAATGGACCTGAAAGAAAGCCCTAAACCCTAAATCCTAAATAGTAGTTTCCAATTTTCTTTTCCATTATCCTTATATAATCCCCTATACCCCCCCTATTTCACTATGGTAGCCCTACATTACCCCTAAACCCTGACCCTTCCTGAGGGCAGTTCCAGGCGGAGCCACGGTCAAAGGCCGAGGGATAGCTAACCACCTTGGAGGCTTGGTCTGAAGCGGTAGGTTTAGGATTGCGGTTAAGGGTTTGGGGTTTGGGGCTTAGCGGTTAGGGGTTTAGTGTTTAGGGTTAGGGGGGGCATCCATACTTCAGCTGATGGCAGCTGAGTGCGGAACCCCTGTGCTGGCAGCCGACAACCGCTCCGCGGGGTCATCCTGGGCGAGCTTTCAAGCCCTTGCATTCCCCCCCAAATCACAAGACAGATTCCTAAGATTAGTGCAAAACTTTATTCTGGGACCCCAAAATGGTACTTTTGGGAAACCCCCACATTGTGGGTTTCCGAAGATGAGGGTTCCCTGCCTGGGGGTCCCTATAACGGCAATCAAGGTGACTTTCCCATTAGTGCTTGCTGCCATGAGTCTAAAGCCACCTCAGAAGGAATTCCCAAAATTAGGGGTCCCTTTTCAATCATAAGGGTTACGATATCTTGCGGTCTGCATTGGGATCCTAAACCCTAAACCCATGATTTAAAACTCGCTGTCCGACCTCGTCCTTCTCGAAAAGCAGCTTCCCCTCACAGCCAGGAGTTGTTGAAGGGTTGTTATGCTTCTCACTCCCCTTGTTAGTGGATTTAGGGCCATAAGTTGTGAAAACTTCTTCCTCCAGTCTGGCTTGTTGGTGGGTTTAGGGCCTTGGGCTTAGATTTTGAAGCCTAAACTGTTAAGGTCCTAAACCCTAAGCCCCCTAGGGGTAGGACTTCCGGGTTGAAGGCTTAGTCTTGGCTCAAGCTCAGTAAGGGTCCATACTGGGTTCTTGTTGAAATACTATTCAAGATGATCATTTCTAATTTACACTGGGCCCAGGTATACATAACAATGTAAAATGTTTTTCAGCAAGAACTCAGTATAGGGGTTCAGGATTAGGACAAAGAGTGGATCACTCCCCTCATCAGAAATATGAAAAAAAAGAAGGGAATCTCTCACACTTGAAGCCTTCCTCCACGATAGACGGGTACAGTTGCCCCATAAACTTTCTCCATGTTTATGATTAGTCACTTCAACCTGATCTAAAAATGTTTTCTTATTAGCGTTTAGGGTTCAGGGTTTAGGGGTCTTAGTCCTCTCAAAACTCTTAAGTTTTATCTGGGGTTGCGCAGCGGTTGGCAGGTCAGCCTGCTCGGTTCCGGATGAGCTATGAAGCAGGACCTGATCTGTTGCGGCTTCAGAGAGTCTTAGGGTGGGGGGGTGTAAGGCTTCCGGCTTTGGGGCTAAATATGTTTGGGTTATATCAGGATATATAATGGAAAAGAAAATGGAAACTACTACTTTGTAATAGCATATATATATATATATTGGGGTTAGGGTGTTTGCGTTCAAGGCACACCTAGTGTAGGGATTTGCGAATCTCCTCACGTCCAGCTTGGCCGGTGCGGAGAATGATGCTCACACCGCAATGGACTGCAGCATGCGAAAATCCATGAGTGGAAGGCATGATTCATACCACACTTGAGTAGCTTCATCATTCTCTCTGACATATTTAGCACCCGGCCGCTGTCGCAGAGTGCCCATGCAGATTGGCGTAGTACGCAGGGCTTCTGCCGATCTCGTCCTTCACAGCCGCTTCCCAACAGGGAGGGCTGCCGACGTTGAAACCAACCAGGACAACAAACTGATTCAACGGCATGTTGTTGTAAAGTATGACGTCTTTCTTCTGCAGACCGCAGCAACGGCATTTGAGGTGAACGGCTTTCAGGGCGCAGCTGGTCCTCGTGGCTCGGATCTGCGCGGCAGCTGAGCCTTTGTATCTTGCTTCAGGGTGGAAATCTGTGGTTCATGATCGCCAGCATCAGACAAACGGCCTTAGGACCTCCTCCAAAAAAGCACCGGTACTTGTTCAAGTAATAGTAGTAACAATAGTCTTGAGAGTAAGACGAGTAAATAGTCATGATGGCCATAATAGGGATACTAGCCATGTGGGTCAAATTATAAAAGCAACACCCTCCGAAAAGTCCCAAGCGCCAGGCAAGAGTAGACAAACATCATCCCTTCCCTCTGCCGCTGCCCAGTGGAGGGCTGTCCAGCATGGTCCTGTCACTGCAAGTAGCTTTTACTGTCTGCTAGCAGGGAATATGGGAATATAATCCCTATATGATATATTCCCTTATTCCCTACTCACAACCCGTAAGGAAGGCAGCTGGTCCTTCTTCACGTTTTTTTCCAAACGGGGTTCTCATCGAGAATATGAGCATCTGTAGTTAGCTGAACACAGGACTCATTGGCCGTAGGGGCCGCTCCACTGGCCTAGTCCACACGCAAGAGGCTTTGCATATGGGGATTTCCCATTGACTTTGCGGGGGTCCCCTAATACAGTCTAAACCCTAAACCCCATAGTATTCTGGGGTCTCTATTGGCTTCTGGGCACTACCAGATGGTCCTGAATTGTCTCCACCATGCAAAGCTTCCCAGCCGTGGTCGCAAATGATGTTGACCGCGGCCTGAGCTCCAAGACTTGGGAGTTTCCCAAAATTAGGGGTACTGCTGTGGGGCTCCTCATGATAAGGACTACAGTATTTTGGGACCATGTTGGGTACCGCTGTTTGGGGAACATCTTGCAGGAAACTTCCCTCGGAGTTCAAATCACACCAGACATATTTTTAAACCCCTGACCCAACACCTGAATCCCATTTCCCCGAAGCCTTCAGCCCCAAATCCCAAACCCGAGGTATGTCTCTGACAGCTGTTACATGTTTTCCTATTACTCTCACTCTTACTCTCACTCTTACTCTCACTCTGACTCCTACTGTAACTCTTGCTCGAACCAACCCAGAATGCGAGACGTCCAGCGGGCTCTGAACTTATGCACACCACAGGGTTCAGGGCGGGACGCCCTGAGGCCCCCATCTTTACGGTGTTTTATGGTGTGTTATGCCTATTTGAGCTCTCGAAATCCATTTCTCTAGAATCTTCATGCTGCTGCGAACTGTCTACTTGCCGGGACCAGACTTGAAGCACTCTTCCTCCATGGACAAAGAAGGAACTGTCTCTGATCACCGTGATTGCTGTTATTGCTATTATTCCTAGTATTACAGTATCATTAATACAATTTCTCTGATTACTATTATTACTCACTTGTTACGATTATTTCTCTTATTACAATGATGAGTCTTATTGCTATTAATGCCATGATGATGTGGAATATGATTACTTGTATAGGCATTACTGCTGCTACCGCCCTAAATCCTAAATTCGTACAAATATTATTATTGCTATTATTGCCGCTACTTTCAGGCTGTGGCTCTGTACACCTCCGGCAGGTCCTGGATGCCTGGTCTTTGAAAACCAAAAGTGATTGGGAAGGATGGAACAGACGAAGAGAATCATTCGTCCTTCAGTGTGTTCATAGAAAATATTTCTCATCATTATAAGGAATGCATCAACAATGATGATAATGATAACAACAAGTACAATGATGATAGTTGTAGTCATGATCATCGACATCATCATCATCAAGATATATCAAGATCATTGTAGCGAAGTGCTCATTGGTCAAAGCTATTCTGCAAGAGCAAGGTCCGATGGGCCTTCTTGAGGTGCCTCGGGGCTGCGGGGCCGCCCAATGGTGTCAATCCCATCCATCGGGCCTGTGTGCAGTTGAATATATGATTGCTATGGTTGCTAGTTTCAACATGACTCTTATTTAATGATATTAACTGCAATGATTGCTGATTACTGATTTTCTTGTGAATTGCCTTGCTTGACGACAAGGCCACGGAGAAGGCAAGGGCAAGGCGCCTCGCAGTGATGGTGCAGGCTCTGGAGGTAGGCCTGAACACGCCCAGAACAGGAACCTGCGGTTGCATCTACCATTTCACATCTTGGGCCATGGCCAGTGACCTCGCCATTTAGGAAGGCCAGATAGGCCTGCATCAGCGTCTCCTGGCTGTGCATGTGCTCTGAGTGGCTGTGAGAGACTGACAGCTTGCATGAACAAACACAAACTCCGACGTCCTGCTGCGGGATCACCGGCATGCTGTGCATGCTGGGCATGTTCGATGCCTGCGGCCGCTGCGCCGGCATTGCCTCCATTGTCCCTACAATGGGCTCCGGCCTTAGCTACAAGAGATACGCAAGGACCAGCACAGGCAGCTGATTCAGCCCAGTTGCGGGAGACCACGCTGCGCACGCTGCGCATGTTGCGGACGCTGCGCGTGTTGCGGCTGATGCTGCGGCTGTGAGGATTGACCGGGCTTGGAGGCCGCTTTGTCCTCGCTTCGGGTCAACTCCAGCTGGTCTGCTGCACGCTGAAGTGGAGCAAAGGTTTCTGCCCCAACAGCCAGCGGCAGTTGAGTGCCCATCACGGGCTGTTCCCAGGTCTGGGCCAAGGCAGGTTCGATTCCGCCGCTGGGCTGACTGATTCTTTGGCTTGGCTGCGCGGGCGTCTTGCCCTGCACTGCCAAGTGCTGCAAGAAGGGTTGCAGGGGTGTCGTGCTACCTGTAGTGTTCTCTGCGTGTGGGTAAGAGTCCAAGTGAATCCAGGGCTTTGGCTCGGCATGCGGAATCGTGCTAGAGCCTGCTTGGTTCTGCACAAAACGCTCGAGGCTTTGCTGAAAAATCTCTTGCCCTGCTCTTACCTGCTCTAGCAAAAGCTGCAGGTCTCTGAGAGGCTCTCGGACCTCCTTCTCGAGAGCTGTCTGCAGAGCACTTGCAGACACACTTCGACTCAGCGGGTCAACTAAGCCCTCAACTGGGCCAGAACACCTGTCTTTGAGGTGGTTGAAGGTACTGGAGCTCCTGAAACTTGCTGGCCTCTCTTTGGGCTGAGGCAAGCGCCGTCGCGTCTCCGCAGAGCCACATATAAGGGAGGCCGGGACCGGAGCGCCCGTGTCCTGCACATCTTTCAGGAGCCCGGTTCGGATCGGAAGGCGCCGGACGCGCTGGGCAAGGTTCGGGGGCAGCGGCATGTTCAGACCCCTGGCCAGCTCTAAGTCAGCCTCCAACTCTCGCAGCTTCTGGAGGAACTGTGACTTGGGAGCAGGACGTGGGAAGCGCACCGGGTGCGGCGCCACTCCTGACTGACTGCGAGCAAGTGCATCCCCTGTGACGGGTTCTGGACAGCACGGAGCTACGCGAGTGCTTCCCAAGTTTGCCCACTCGCGAGTCCCTGGTGCTGGTGCTTGGCAGTCGGAGGGTGGCCTTGCGTGCGTCTGCTGGCTGAGTTGGAGCAGTGCATCTGTATGCGACGGCTGCCTGGCTACGACATCTGTGGCAGCAGCCCCGGACGTCTCGCTTGAGTTGGGGGCTGGAGGCACGCTCCGTGACCGTGCTTGTATATCATGGAGGCGCTGCAGCTGCGAGCGCTTTGCAGACCTGACATGTGCCATGGCATTCATACTTACAGACTTACCGCTTGGGGGTTCCTATATAATAAGGATTATATGATGTTGGGGTCTTATTGGGGTCGCCACCCTTTAGGGAAACTACCACATGAAGAGGATCTGAGCCCAGGGCTGTACAGGAGCTTCCTCCCGACATGGCTCATCCGAAGAAGCCATGGACTACATGAGCTTTGAGTCTCAACTCCCAGTATCCCTCTTAATAACCCCAAGAATACTCCCCTATGTAATCCCTCATATAACCCCCTCTGAGGCTTGGAGTCTATAAACACGTAACATCCCAGACTTGCCTCTGAGTCTCCTACTATTCATACTGATACTCATACTGATGCTCATACTAATACTAATGCTACTAAGGCTAATACTGTTACCAATACTACTACTAATACTCATACTGTTGCTAGTGCTAGAGCTAATACTTATGCTTCCACTTTGGTGGCGCTACTCAGGTCTTGCGACAGGCTTCAGCATGGTTGCGTGCGGCGTCCGCGTTTCCAACCCTTCTCCACGGTGTCGGCTGGGGCACTTGAGACTTTTTGTTCTGCTCTTCGCATAAAGCTGGAAGGTCTCCGAGCACGTCTTCAGATGTAGAGACAAATCTCACTTTCTAGCCTTGAGGATCCTTGATGAATCCTAGGAATCCATGCTCAAGACATTCCAGTGGTGAAACATCCGTCTCTGCTAGCCATTCCTAACCGTACCATGGAGCTCAGCCTAGGCTTGACAACGTAAGCGACGCTAAAGCTCATCCTGGGGTCACCGCAGAAAGACCCATCGGCGTTTCGAAACATGAAAGGCCAACACATAGACCCAGACATACTATAATTCGGGGACTTCAAGAAGAGGACCCCTAATTTCCGGAAACCTCCGTTATGTAGCACATCTCCAGCCCCATAGGCAAGTAGCATGTGGCTCCGGGGCCTATAAACCCTTCAACCCCAACTCCAACTCTGAAACTCTGGGTGCCGGAGTTGGAGCTTCGAGCAAGGTTTCGGAAACTTGGGTGCTTCCAATACTTCAGGGCATCCGTTCGTGCAACGTCAAGGCCCTGATGCCACCACTAAAGAAGGCTCCACAATTTCCAGAAATTCCCGCTCTAGCTGGCCTTTGCTGTGGGAGCATGAATAATAAAGCCCCGTCCTTCGGGAAGCAACATCTGTCGTAGTTGAAGACACCGTCCCAACCTTAGAGGCATGTGGGCTCCTGTTTTGGGAAGCCTCTAGCATACCCCCAACAAAGTGTGTTGAGGGAACGGGAACGGATGGGGCGGATGGGGACCCTAATCTTGACGGAGAGGACCTTCCCCAGCTTCCTATCCCCGACTTTTGAGAAGCATCATCCCCTACATGGAGACAATCTCCACTAGATTCTGCCATGTCGTTTAGCATAATTCTGGAGCTTCCTCGTGAGAGAATTTGCCTTGACTACTATTGCCAGAGCAGCAGTACGACTACTAAGAACCCAGATCAGTGAACATGTACCTTGAACCCTTACCTCGATGATTCTTCAAGGAAATCTCCACCAGTCAACGAGACTGAGGAGGTGGCATTGAGCGTTGCCACTTGGCCCAAACTTGGGGTCGCAGCAGGTGTCGTAGTTAAATCCTGGGAGGCCCATAATAGACAAAAGAAGGGACTCCTCCTAGACCGCAATGTGTTGTGGTCGTCATTATGGGTTATGACAAGTTTCATGCCAGCATCAGCACAAAGAATGTTATGACTGATTATTGCCAATGTGCTCGTGACTGTGACTCTCGCCACTGTGCATGTGTTCGCATCTTCGAAGTGCAGCGCACTTTGCTTTCACTACCTCAGCCTACATGCTCGCTGTCGACAGTCTGGGCAGCAAGCCATCTATCCAGCATTCCACGTTGCCCATGACGATGGCCTACGCTTAAGGACAAGCCGCAAGACACAAGACATGCAAGCTCTAGTAGCTCATCAATGCATGGCTTCACTTGCCGCCTGCTGCCCAGGCGGGTGGCACGCTCTGCCACCACTTATCCAGCCTGATGATGGCAAGCCCGAAAATCGCGGAAGATGCCAACTGATATGCACCGAGATGTACCCAGCACACACGCACACACTCTGTATATGCCCACAGCATCCATGTCTGCCTCCGTCAGTATTAAATCTGTCGGCACAAAATGAGATGATGAATATGATAAAGATGTTTCAGCAAAAGTGTACACGTACGAAAACATCAGAAGCAGAAGAACAAGAGTGTACTACCGGTGTCGTTGGGTGATGCCCCAGCATCCATGTCATGTTCTGTTAGTTTCCATTTGGTTCTCCATGGGTGGGGGCAATATCCCTAAACCCAAAACCCAAAAACCTAAGCCCAAACCCCAACCCCGTAAACCAGAAACCCTAGACCCTGCACACCTATGATGCTGGGCGGCGCTTCTGCCCCTCAACCTCAATAATTATAATAAAATCTCCATATTGGCATTTTCTATCTACTTAAGGGGGGCTGTATCTCTGCTTCAGATCCACATTACATCCACAGCAAACCCGAAACACAGAACCCTGAATCCTAAACCCCATCCCCATAAGGCCATAAACCTTGAGCCCTAAACCCCAACCCCCTACAAAACCCCTAAAACCTATAAACCCCCTTAAACCCATAGAACCCTAAACCCCGCAAAAACCGAAAACTCCATAAAGCCCCAAACCCTATAAAACCCTAAACCCCCTATA